TTGATAAAAACTTCAGTGCAAATAATACACTAGAATCAGTAATTGAGTCTTCAGACCACCATGTTCAATAATTTCATTTTCACGGACCGTGATAAGATGGTTTTAAAATTTTTACATTTACAAGTTATAACCTTTCTACAATACAGATCAAAAGCTGAATGGTTTTGTTTAGTGATGTTAAAATTATTAATTCATGCCAGAGGTTTGGAAAATGAACTTTCCCATTCGCTGCACAAACGGCTATATTCACTTCTCCGCCGCTGGGTCATGCAAAATCATGTACAACCCATAGCTGGAAGTGAAGAAGCCTTGGATTGTCTGTTTGTCTGATTAGAGACTTTCTTTGCTTTTCCGGCTTAGGGTCGTAATATACTATTTTTGTTTGAGATAAACTTTTCCTGTCCTGTGTACCCTACAATACAGTGTTTTGCAGTAAAAATTTTTTAAGTAGTTGGTGCGAATGTATATATGTATACCTGTTCAACTTAACGGTTATTGAGTAATTTGCTACATGAATTATTAATAATTTACATAATTTCTCATCGAAACAGCAAAAAAACTTATAAATCACATAGATCTCGAGAAATATTTTGAAATTTTGATAGAGTTCAAAAAGGTTAGGAAATTTTCAACACTACATGGATGTACTGAAAGCATTAAAAGACACACAAAAATTCAAATATTTAAAAGACGGCACGGCTAAATAATCTAAAATTTTAATAAGTTACAACTTGAAGTATCCGTTGTAGCACATTCGTTTTTTTGACAAAATCTGTTGAGCGGTTTTTTTACATTTGATTATAATGTCTGTTCTTCACGGGGTTAATCTATACTTCCAATTGTAAAGAGTCCAACTTTGAAGCTTTGTATCTCAAAAACGTCACGGAAAATATTTTCAAAATTTTAACGAATAATGTAAGGTTAAGTACCTTATATTTAGACAAAAGTATTGTTTGGACCTATATCCAGACAGCAGCGATAATTACATAATTTTTTACAATTTCTGAATGAAAAAATTTATTTGTAATCTACAGAATCGAATTAATTTAAGATAGTTACAACATATGTCGAATTAATTTGATAATTCATTAAAAGAAATGTTTTTTCTTGCAAATCGAGGTCTTTTGTGTTTGGCTGCTGTCCGGAAATTAGATACTACGGTTCAAACTGTACCTGATATTCGGACACACATAATCCAGCAATTCACTACCTTACAAGTGCAAAGAAATAGTATACAATGAAGTAAAATACAAAAATAATTTGTTTTTTTGCATTTGTTTAACAAATTAAAGCCATTAAAGTAAAATATAACTGTATATAAAGATCTGCCATAACCTCGATTTCTCAATGTTCACCACTGTCCGGATTATGGTCCCTACGTCGTAACGGGACCTATATTTGGACTATTTAGAAATGCATTGTCCGAATATAGGAGTTTTGAGACTGAATCTTTATAATTATTTTAAACAATGATCACGCGGTCACAAAGAACTTTTTTTTTTTTCAAGTGACAGAAAAATTACTTTATTATCTATACGTCAACCATCTTTTTCGCAAAAACAGCTAATTTCTTTGTGAATTTAGAAATAGTGGATAACCTAAAATTATGTATCCGAATAGAGGGTACTTTACCTTAAAGCGATATAACGAAGTGATCCCCAAAGTTTGAAGAAAATTTCTTGTAAGTCGATTTTTCTACCAACTACCTTAATATCATAATCTTTGGGCACAAATATTTTGCATAAGTAATGATTCTTTATTTAAAAATATTCAATAGTTCAAAAGAACTTGAGTATAATTAGTTTCAAGCAAATAAGTCGTAAGGTTGTAATCTTCATGGGTACGTAACAAATAATTTTAAAAAAAGCATGATTTTATCAATACGTAAAAAAAATCATGAATTTTGACATCTTATCTTACTAATATATAAAGCAAAGTCGCTGAAACCGTTGTAATCACTAACCGCGAAAACTACTGAACCGATTTTGCTAAAGTTTTGCATACTGATTCATGACACTTCCTAGATGGTTTTAGTATGGTTTTTATCTTGAAAAATATAATAACAATAACAATAAATAAGCTCAAAGTTTTGCAAAAATACGCCAGCTTTTCTCTTTAGTTCAGTAGGATCCGCTAAGTGGCGTCGACATAAAATCGAAGCTACCTGCAACATAATTAAATAAGTGTGGTTATAATAGGCCGGAGCGTAGCAGTTTTTTCTGCAATCGTCAACTGACAGTTCATCGAGCTGCATTGAAAGTGTATCTGATAGTCGTGCAGCTGGGTATCCCGGTTACCGATGACGCTATTCTACGAAGGGAAAGTGATCTAGGTCTTCACTTTCACCTGGAACCTTCAGGATTTATGAGTGCCACTAATGAAAAATTTATTCTAACCGATAACGTCTTCGGCGGAATATCAGGCGACGTGTCTAGCCAGATCATATCCTGCTCCGACACTTCAGAGTTATGTGGCCGTACCACAATCTGGCCTGGTGCCGTCAGAGAATTTTTTACTACAAATATAAGCCAGGGAAGACAGCCCTAAAGAGTACGGGCAGCCATAACTGCCAACTTCTTAGTGATCGTTTTAACGGCATACCTACAGAGAAGGTAATCTTCAGACCCACTTTCCCAACTATCGATGAGCGGTTGGTTATCCGGGGAACGACCTGAAGACGAGATATATTTTGTATGTAAGAGTCGAGCTACCAACAGCTGGCTCTCCATCATAAAGAATAATAATAAGGAATAACTAGAAATTTCATGACTGGCCTTTTTCAGGACCAATATTAGTATTTACGCTCATTACTTAACCTCCAATCTCATCGGTTCTTTTAATGGCCCCCTAAGTTTCAACTACCGTGCCAACAAATACATTCTTACTACCATTTCCGGAAACATTATTCGTCGACTAAAAGACTACGTAAAGCCGACCACTATTAAACCAAGATAGTCATTTACTGGCAGACGTCACGAACAGAGTTGTTCGTCGCAAGGCTGGGAACCCCGGGTGACCGACGACCCTATATTACCCCCCTCGACTCTAAGCATGTAACCAGGAATCACCGATCCTCTCCAAGGTCTGCGCTGGGTGAACCTAACAGCTATGAAGGAAAAAAAAACTTGAGCCAACGAGAATCTCCAACGGGCAAGCATCACGAACTAATCTCTACTAACCTCTCCACCTTAGATCATCAAAACAACTGAGTCTGCAAAAAAAAGGTGCTTTAGGGACCAACGTCTTCGACGTTATGCCAGGAGACGTTGGGAAAGAGCTCTGCAACTAGCCCCAAAGCTTCAGACTTGGTAATTTTCCTCTCGATCAGTCTGGGTCTTCAACAGCAGGCCGGAGAAGATCACCCTGAGGTACTCAGGCAGTCACAATTGCTGTAAACTTTAGTCAAGCAAGAGTTAGCTTAAGAAACTCACCGGTCTTTTTTAGGGCAATCGGACGTCGAACTACTTTGCCAACAAATATATTAGAACTTAACAAAATTGACAGAAAGTAGCCTTTAGGGGTCACAAAAGTCGCAAGAGGGTGAATTGGAAGGAAAACTTCAAATGTATCTAATGAATACATTTTTAGGCGTCAAGAAACTGACGCATAAAATTTACCGAGATTGAAACAGCAGCCTCAAAATCGACAAATAAAGAATCTATTACGTGAGAGATCAGCTTTTTATTTTACCCTCACAGTAATCTCTTGAATATTTAAAGATTTAAATCCAGGTTTTTAAATAAGAAGAAAATATATTTGTATTTTTGTGGCAATAAAAAATGTAGAGATTAAGCTCCAGGACTTTGTTGCTCTGGTAATAAAGTTGTGAGATAAGAGAAAAAGAATTTTTTTTAATATATATTTTTGGGAGTTTAAAATCTCAACATCTTTAAAAAATAGCCCTTTTTCGAAAATTACACGGAAAAAACTGATAATCAACCGCTCCTTATGTCCAACGATTATT